TATAGAGCCAGCCTTAACTGGTTGTGGTAGATTCTTATAAATGTTACATCTAATGTTGTATGAATACTGGGAAAGTGAAATAGGAAATTGTGGAAATTATTTGGATTTTGCAGGGACATAAAAATTGACTTGAAATACTATCTTAAAGAATTTTAAGATGAGAAATACTTAGCTCATTGAGCAAGTTTTTTTTTTTTCCACCTTGAAATGTTCAATTTTAATTTGGCTGGACATCATCTGAGGCAGATGCTCAGTAATTTGATGATTTCAGCAGTATGTTATTCTGTGATATCCTTATGGATCAGAAAGTCATTATATAGGACAAAATGAAATCACATAAGTAATGTAATTGGAAAAGGAAGGGTCAAAATAATATTATGAGAGGCATTAGAAAATTGATAGAACTCATGTTCTATTAGCTGTAATGTGGAATTACTACTCTCAAACCAGTATGGATGGTGCATTTTTGATTGCCTTTCAGGAAATGTGTTGGTGATGAGAAGATGAGGAGTCTTCAACTTATTGGCTTTTCCCTGCATTTTCTTCTGCCTTATGAGTTTTATACTATCTTATGAAGTTTATACTATCTGCTCATTTTGACTTGCTGGCTAACCAATTCCCAATTCTCAACATGTGAAAACAAATACTCCTAAGATAGGTAATGTCACAAACAGAAATGTGTGTGTTTCAGAAAAAGATGAGGGGCAAATATGCCTGGATTAAAGCCATGAAACAAATCCTCAAATATCTTTTCTAATTTAACATGAGAAATAGGCTTCCGATAGTTAATTTTTATTCATGATACATATTTATTTAGTAGCATCCCCACATGGAGGAAAGTCGATTTTTACCAGCTGACAGAGGAGTTCAGTCTGGACACTAGTTGCCACTCCTGTGGGGATGGCTGGCTCCTGTGCTTCATCATCTCCCAGAGGTTTCCTGATAAGGAGATGTGTGCTGGTCAGAATTGATCTCTGGCATTACTGTCAACGGCACCCATGATTTGGCCCACAGCGGCATGCTTTCCTGCGACTAGTCTGTGACTGCATCCTATCATTTCATATTTGCAGGCTGCTCCATCAAGCTAATAAAGCAGCTGTTTCTTATGCATGACATGCTGTGTTGTATGACTGACAGATAACTGCAGCATTTTAAGTCTTGTGCTAGATTCTCCATTATGCTGCCAGCATTTCTGTTAGCCTCTATCAAAATGTTTCCTGTTATGGGCTGTCAGAAGCAGAAGTCAGTTGTTTTTGAGTCCAAGCTAATCTGAAGTCTGTAAGGTGCTGCCAGATTAGAAGGCAGGGGTAGATGAGGAGAAGCTGAAAAGAGGCACTTGAGGGCATCAGACCTAAGCGCAAAAGTTACCTTTTTCATAGCCCCACATATGTGGATGTAGATAGAGTAGCTTCTGTAGAAACTGTAATTCAGTAAGAGCTGAAATAGTCCTTTCTATGAGGCTTGGAGACTCGTTAGAAGAAAGACAAGGGCTGACACTCATTAAACACTTCGTGTACAGCACTGTTTCTCAAATAATTCTGAGAAACAGGGATTTCCGCTCCCTGCTCCTTTTATTTTGTTAACATGTGAGAAACCAGCTTTGAGAAATGGTGGAACTTTCTGGCTTGTCACAGCTAGAACAGTTCTGTGATCCTTGCTGTGCCCCTTCCACGACCTCCTCAATGCTCCCAGCTGAACACTCCTCAGGGGAAAGCTCTGTCCCAGGAGAAAACTTGGAAATTCTCAGGGAGGACTTGACAGGCCTCCAACAATTTGCTTCCTGGGAGGTTTCAGTGGCTCAGTGGCTAGAGACTGTTCATCCTAACAACACAAAAGCGGATTTCAGTGTAGTTTGTTTCTATTCATGTTATACACACTGTTTATATCAGTGGATCATGTGGCAATTTAAAAAGCATGTTTATGGAATCATTATTATGTCTTAGAGTTATGTAGAACACAGACTGAAAACTACAAGCTTAACATATTTCAGTAAATAGGTTAACTGCTTCCACATGTATGTCTCCCTATCTTTTTTTACCTTGAACTCTTGACCTTCTTACATTTATTCATGGTCATTCATTAGCTCCAGGGAAGGGTTTTAAAGCATAGCTCTACAACAAGACTGAAATTCTTGGCTTATGAGTTGCAAGAACCTGGAATTTGAGCATCAGATGCCTTAGTCTTGAGATCAGTGGGTGGAATTTATGCCCTAAGTGACCGATTTTGAAGAATATACTGTGAGTCAGAGGCTTTTTTCCCTAATATTCAGATGGATAAAGATTCTGTGTGATGATGAGAAAGAGGAGATGAATCATAAGATACACACAGAGCACTGCTGATGGGTCTCCTGGGAAGGATCCAATACTCTTTCCAGACTCATAAGCGTTAATAATTTTAAAATATAGTTTTAAACTAATGAGATGGATGAAACTGGAGCCCATTATACAGAGTGAAGTAAGCCAGAAAGATAAAGAACATTACAGTATACTAACACATATATATGGAATTTAGAAAGATGGTAACGATAACCCTATATGCAAAACAGAAAAAGAGACTCAGATGTATAGAACAGACTTGTGGACTCTGGGAGAAGGCGAGGGTGGGATGTTTCAAGAGAACAGCATCGAAACATGTATATTATCTAGGGTGAAACAGATCACCAGCCCAGGTTGGGTGCATGAGACAAGTGCTCGGGCCTGGTGCACTGGGAAGACCCAGAGGGATCGGGTGGAGAGGGAGGTGGGAGGGGGGACCGGGATGGGGAATACATGTAAATCCATGGCTAATTCATTTCAATGTATGACAAAAACCACTGCAATGATGTAAAGTAATTAGCCTCCAACTAATAAAAAAAAAAATAAAAAAAATATAGTTTTAAACAAAACTGTGTATATTTAAAGTGTATGGTATCATGATTTGATATATACATGTGTGTAGTGAAATGGGGCTTCCCAGGTGGCACTAGTGGTAAAGAATCCACCCACAGTGCAAGAGACACAAGAGATGCAGGTTCGATCCCTAGGTTGGAGAGATCCTCTGAAGGAGGAAATGGCTCCCGATTCCAATACTCTTCCTGCAAAAATCCAGTGGACATAGGAGCCTGGTGGGCTACTGTCCTTGGGGTCGCAAAGAGTCAGACTCGACTGTGTGAGCACACAGTGAAATGACTATTGTAGTTAAGCTGATCAGCATGCTGCTCCTCAGATACTTATTTTTGTGTGTGTGTGATGAGAACATCTGGAAACTACTCTTATCATAGTTTCAATATTCAATACGGTATCGTTAACTATAGTCATCACACTTTATGAACAAGTCTTTAGACTTGTTCATACTAAATAATGGCAACTTTGTACCTTTTGACCACTATCTCCCTTATTTCTCCTCCTCCACCCTGATCCAGCCTTTATTAACTTATGAACTACTCTCTGTTCCAATTAATTCAACTCTTTTTTAAAGGTTCCACATATAATTATGATCCTATTTTCTCTATGTGACTGACTTGTTCTCCAGTTTTACCCATGTTGATGCAAATGAAAAGATTTCCTTCCTTTTCATAGCTGAATAATATGTGTGTGTGTGTATGTGTCTGTGTCTGTGTAAAATCTCAAACTGAACTTGGATTAAAATGATCTTTTCTTGCTGGTTTCCCCAGGTACTTGGCAAAAGCATTATAAAATCCTACTTGTTTTGTTGTTGTTCAGTCGCTCAGTCGTGTCCGACTCTTTGTGACCCATGGACTGGAGCACGCCAGGCTTCCCTGTCCTTCGCCATCTCCTGGAGCTTGCTCAAACTCATGTCCACTGAGTCAGTGATGCCATCCAACCATCTCTTCCTCTGTCGTCCCCTTCTCCTCCTGCCCTCAATCTTTCCCAGCATCAGGGTCTTTTCTAAGGAGTTGGCTCTTTGCATCAGGTGGCCAAAGTACTGGAGCTTCAGCTTCAAGATCAGTCCTTCCAATGAATATTCAGGATTGACTTCCTTCAGGATTGACTAGTTTGATCTCCTTGCAGTCCAAGGGACTCTCAAGAGTCTTCTCCAACATCACAGTTCACAATCCTATTTGGAAGATAATAAATGGGTAATACTAATAATTTTCAAATGACATAGTTAACAATAAATAAACAATAGCATTTTATTGTTATTAATAATATTATTAATTATTAAATAATATGAATATTATAATATATGATAGCAATATCATATAAATAATACAATATTAATATCATAATTATATGAATGTTATTATTAATATTTACTAGTTAATAATAAATAACCAATAAAAACATCTAAATGCAAAGAACAAAAACTCCTTTAGGTGAGAAACCACAGTCAATAGAAGCAGATCTACAAAGACTGTAGGTACTGAAATTATCAGACACAAACTGTGAAACTATGGTTACTATGGTTTTGAGAAAATAAACACAAAATCATGGCAGGTAACTGAATATTATGAAGAATAACACAGCACATTAAACTGTAAATTTTAGAACTCACTTCAACAACTGAAATGAAAAACACAATGAATGAGTTTAATAGTAAATTAGATAAAACTGATAGAAATTTAGTGAACTGAATGATATGTGAAAGGTCACGCTCACTGCCCCAGCCAAAAGGTCCCAAATAAGTACCAGGGACAGACATCCACCAATCAGCAGCCCGTTGCCAGGCAGACTGATGGACGCGAAGGTGCCAAGACTCCGGCCAATCAAGAAAAACCGACACGGGACAAAAGGCCAATCAGCACCCTAGAGCCTGACTCCAAGCATATTCGAAAAGGTCCTGCCGCTTCCGTACCCGCCAGGGTATATAGGTGCCGCCCCCCTTCCCGCAGGTTGCAGACTCCCTTTGTCTCTTCACTCACCCGCCCCTGGGAGTTCTGCCCGAGAGCGACCGCCCAATAAAGGCCTTCATCAACGGTCCTTAGAGGTGGCTCTTTCTTCCCGCGGCGTTTTCTAACATCTGGCGCCCAACGTGGGGCTCGAGGTGAGGGCCCCCCGGCACTCGCCGTTGAGGCCCCCTCGAGCTCCACTGCCGCGGTAGCCCCGGACCCAGGCGGCTGACCAACTCCCCGGACGGCAGGATACGGGGTAAGTCCCCTCGGCTTTGTGGCCTGCCCTCCCTGGCGACCATCTCCTAGAGCCCAGTAACGGGTGCGCACTTACTGGGCCCTCCCGGTCACCAGCTTGTGGGGAGACGTCCCCAGAGGCTGAGTAGACCTCCGGCTTCGGCCTCTTCTGGTCACCGGCTCGTGAGGGAGACGTCCCAAGCGGCTGAGTAGACCTCCGGCTTTGGCCTTTCCCGGTCCCCAGCTCGTGAGGAAGACGTTCCGAACGGCTGCACGGACCTCCGGCTTCCCTTGACACGTCCGAAGACGTTCGGACAGCGGGGGTTGCCTCCACGCCCCGTGGTCGCCATGGGATCGACAGCCTCCAAACCCGAACCCCAATAGTCCACACCCTTAGAGTGCCTGCTGGCTAACCTGCGGACCCTAAGACTAAAGGGATACATCCGCCCCAAGCAGCTCACTTTTCTGTGTTCACAGGCCTGGCCTCAGTATTCCCTAGATAATGGCTCACAATGGCCAGCCACAGGGACATTAGACTTTGACGTCCTCCGTGATTTAGATAATTACTGCCGGAGAACGGGAAAATGGTCTGAAGTCCCCTATGTTCAGGCCTTTTGGGCGTTCCGCTCTCGCCCCACCCTGTGCACCACGTGCGCTCCTAGCCAAATCCTACTCACCATGGCCCCCCCGACTCCACCCTCCCGGGCCAAGCCAACTCCTCCCGTCTCTGAGTCCTCTGCTTTCTCTGTTCCCCCAGAAGATCTGGTGGCCCCCCCTCCCTATACCTCTCCCACGGCCCCCACCCCTTCCTCTCCAGTTCCTGCCCCCTCCTCCCCCACTTCGGCTCCTCTGAGTCCAGCAGCCTCCTCCCCCACTTCGGCTCCTCTGAGTCCAGCAGCTCCTTCCCCCACCTCTGCCCCTGTAACTGCCCCGACAACACCTCCCCACACTTCCTCAGTTGATACACAACCGACTGAAACTATACACCCCCCTCCTACTCCCATTCTCTATCCTCCATTACCGACCCTGACACCCTCCCCATCACCAGTTAGCTCACACACACGGTCCCACGGACAGTCATCCCGAAATTCTTTTCCCTGTGCCCCGGCTCCCCTACTCCCTCTGAGACAGGTAGCCGGAGTCGAGGGCTTGGCACAGGTCCACGTCCCTTTCTCCCTTCACGACCTGTCTCAAATCGAGGCCAAGCTTGGGTCATTCTCATCCAACCCTACCCATTACATCAAACAGTTCACCCAACTGACCCGCTCATATGCCTTAACCTGGAAAAATATCTATGTAGTCTTAGGTTCCACTACTACCCTAGAAGAGCGACAAGCCATCTGGACGGCTGCTAGAGCCCAGGCTGACCAGAGACACTTTGCTAATCCCTCCCCCGAACACCCCCCAGGGGCCGAGGCAGTCCCAGACACAGACCCTGACTGGGACTATCAAGAGACTGGGGGAGGTGAACTCAGGATCAGATATATGGTAGAGTGCCTCCTAGATGGCATGGAAGCCACTTCTAATAAAGTGGTCAACTTCCTCAAGCTGGATGAGATCACCCAGGGCCCTGACGAAAACCCCGCTATGTTCTTGAATAGGCTGACAGAGGCCCTCACCCAATATACCAGATTGGCCCCAGACTCCCCAGCTGGAGCAGTCACCCTGGCCAGTTGTTTTATCTCTCAATCCGCCCCCGACATCCGAAAAAAACTAGCCAAGGCCAACGAAGGCCCTCAGACTCCCATAAGAGACCTGGTAAAAATGGCCTTTAAAGTTTACAATGCCCGGGAAGAGACTGCAGAAGCTAACCGTAAAGCCAGACTAAAACAAAAGGCTAAACTCCAAGCTAGCCTTCTCAACCAACACACCCAGGCTCTGGTAGCAGCCCTGCGGCCGGCAACGGGCTCGGGCCCACAAAAACCCCCACCGGGGGCCTGCTTCAAATGTGGCAAAGAGGGACACTGGGCCAAAACGTGTCCTAACCAGAGACCACCCACAAAGCCCTGCCCAAAGTGCAGGCAACACGGACACTGGGCAAGTGACTGTCCCTCGGCCTCTTGGGCCCTGACCCTAGGGGGTAAGGGACCAGAGCGACCTAAGGTGACTCCGAGCCCAGACCCCACACTACAACTGCTGACCTTTGATGAAGACTGAAGCCGCCCAGACTCGGGAACCCCAATAACCCAAGCCGAGCCCAGGGTAATGCTCCAGGTAGCAGGTAAGTCGATCGACTTCTTGGTTGACACGGGGGCTACCTATTCGGTCCTTCCCTCTTTCGGAGGCACCTTACATCCTTCCCGGGTCTCAGTAATGGGAATTGGCGGCCAGTCATCACGGCCCCTAGAGACCAAGCCCTTAAACTGTCAACTAGACAACTGCCTATTCACCCACTCCTTTCTAGTTATTCCTTCCTGTCCAACCCCTCTACTAGGGAGAGACATTTTAACAAAACTCAAGGCCACTGAGTTTTGTTAAACTTCACCTGACAAACTTCACCAACAAACTTCACCTCACCCCAGGGCCTTCTCCTTCCACAGGCAGGTTCCTGCTGTTGCTAATCGGGTCCTCTGATGCCCAAATAGATCCCCAGGTGTGGGATACCAAGATCCCAACAATTGCCCAACACCAACTCCCAGTCCTCATACACCTAAAAGACCCCACCTGTTTTCCAGTTCGGGCTCAGTTTCCCCTCTCCCAGCCCAAACTTCGAGGACTTAAGCCAATCATTGACTGCCTCCTGGGACAGGGCCTACTGGTCCCCACCTCATCCCCATGTAACACCCCCATCCTTCCAGTCCGTAAGGCCTCAGGGGCCTACCGACTAGTCCAAGACCTCCGACTTATTAACGAGGCCGTCGTTCCTACACATCCGCTAGTCCCTAATCCCTATACTTTATTATCCCAAATACCCACGGGCACCACCCACTTCACAGTGATCGATCTCAAAGATGCATTCTTTTCCATCCCAACCCACCCCGACTGTCAATTTCTGTTCGCCTTCACCTGTATCGATCCTGACACCAGACAGGCCACTCAACTCACATGGACGGTCCTGCCTCAGGGGTTTCGAGATAGCCCTCATTACTTCAGTCAGGCCCTGGCCCGGGACCTGGCCCTCTGCCCTCTTAGCCCTAGTACCCTGCTCCAATATGTGGATGACCTCTTACTATGTAGCCCTTCCGAAGATTTCTCAAAACAACACATCATAAGTCTCCTTAACTTCCTGGCCTCCAAAGGATACCAGGCCTCACAGTCAAAGGCCCAACTCACTCAGTCCTCAGTTACTTACCTGGGATTGCAAATTACCCCCACCACAAAGGCCCTCACAACCGACAGGTGCCAACTCCTCCGGTCTATCCAGCCTCCAACTAACGGAGACCAAATCCTGTCTTTTCTGGGCCTGGTGGGATTCTTCTGCCATTGGGTTCCCAACTATGCCTCATTGGCAAAACCCCTCTATGCAGCAGCAAAAGAAATCCCAAAGGGGCCACTCTCCTCACAAAACGAGGTCACCCGAGCCTTTCTCACGTTACAGTCTGCTCTGACATCTGCCGCTCCCCTCTCCCTGCCTAATCCTAACTACCCATATCACCTCTATACTGATGAAAAGGGGGGAATAGCCTTTGGGGCCCTGGTACAGCCGGTGGGCTCTGAGTTGCTGCCTGTCGCCTTCACCTCCAAACAACTAGACCCCACTGCCAAGGGATGGTTCCCCTGCCTACAGGCACTGGCAGCAGCAGCAGCAGTTTACATGGACGCAAAAAAGTTACTTCAATATCAACTTCTAACCATTTTCTCCCCTCACTGCCTCAGTGACCTCCTGGCTTCCAGATTCCTCTCTGACCTCAGTGACTCCAGACTACAGCAGTTCCACCTAATATTCCTAGACAACCCGCAGGTCGCCGTGGGACGTAGTTCCCAGCTGAACCCGCTATCTGCGCTTCTCTCTCTCCCGATTTCCGTAAGAGTCCCGGCTCACCAGTGTACCGAGATCTTGGACTCTCTGACACAGCCACCGCCAAACCTCTTTGCAGAGCCACTGCCAGACCCTGATATGACCATGTTTGTCGATGGGAGTTCCAAAAAGGACCCAGATGGGCGCCGGGCAGCGGCCTACGCTGTAGTCACCCTACAGAAAGTCCTTGAGGCCCAACCCCTCCCACTAGGAACAACTTCTCAAAAAGCAGAACTAACTGCACTGACCCGAGCCTTACACCTGGCAAAAAACAAAAGGGCCAATATCTACACGGACTCTAAGTACGCTTTCCTAATCGCCCACTCACATGCGGCAATCTGGAAAGAGAGGGGCTTTCTCACCACTAAAGGCTCCCCAATATGTAATGCCTCCCATATTACCAAACTACTGGAGGCCATCCCCCTGCCAAAAGAAGTGGCCATCTTACATTGCCAGGGACACCAGGCAGCTCGCGATAAAATAGCCCAGGGTAATAATTTGGCTGACCAGGTGGCCCGGCAAACTGCCCTGCAGCGAGAGGTGGCCCCTCTACTGGTCCTGGAGACCTCCTTTATCCCTAAATACACCAAGGCAGAAACCAGAGCGCTACTCGTCCAGGAGGGGACACAAACACATCCTTCCGGATGATCACCCTCCACGAAAAACTGGTCCTCCCTGAACAACAAGCCATCACCATCATAAAGCAGATCCATGACGCCCTCCATATCGGACCGCGAGCTCTCTTAAATTTCCTTAGCCCGCTCTTCTCCCCTCTTCATCTTAGGCAGGCCATCCAGACCGTACACCGCTCCTGTCTGACCTGCGCAACAATCTCTCCTCAAGGAGGGCTCCGGCCCCCCCCAAGAAACCCACCAGCTGAGAGGACATCTGCCCGGTCAAGATTGGCAGGTGGGCTTCACTCATATGCCCAGACACCGGGGTTATCGTTATCTGCTGGTACTCGTAGACACATTCTCAGGATGGGTCGAGGCCTTCCCCACCTCCTGCGAAACGGCCGCAATAATATCCGGAACGCTGGTCAAACACATCGTCCCCCGGTTCGGACTCCCTAACTCCCTCCAGTCCGATAACGGACCTGCTTTTGTTTCGCAGATAACCCAGCAGGTAGCTGCAGCCCTCAACATCACCTGGCATCTTCACATCCCGTACTGACCCCAGTCATCAGGTAAAGTAGAACGGGCCAACGGGGTCCTCAAGGCCCACCTCGCCAAGCTCGCCTCAGAAGTGCGGCTCTCCTGGGTTGACCTCCTCCCCTTGGCTCTCACCCACATCCGCACAACACCACACTCAAAGACAGGTTTGACCCCCTTTGAGCTGCTGTATGGCAGGCCTTACCTGCTGACCCATCTGCCCCCAGAAAAACCACCTCCCCTGGCCAATTACCTGCCCCTCTTCACCCGCCTGCGCGCCTTACTCAGGGAACACGCAGATCGGGTCCTGCCACAACCTAGGGACGGTGACGGCCCCATCAGACCACTGTCGCCTGGAGACCAGGTGCTACTCAAGACCTTGTCTCCCGGGCCCCTCCAACCTCGTTGGACGGGTCCTTACACAGTGGTCCTGACCACCCCTACTGCAGCCAAGCTCTCAGGCCCCGAACCCTGGTACCACATGACCAGGCTCAAACGAGCTCCCCCAGATCTTCCAGAAAGAGAGCCAGGCTTAGACTCAGGTCCAGGGACTTCGCCAGGACACACATACCAGTCCTCCCTAACGGGGCCCACAAAATTGAAAATCTCCCGGACCCCCTTTCCACCTGCTATCAGAACATGACAGGTACACTTCTATTGCTTGTGCTCCTTGGTCAGACCTACGGGGATTTGATGACCCGGCTAAAGCGAGACAAATACTGGCCAGGCGAATGGAAAAGCCTTGCGACTGCGCCAGGGAACTCTCTCTCCCAATATCCCGAGAAAAGGGTCAGACACATCCAATCAGTCAACTGCAGAGACAAAATGGCTTGCAACTTTATAGGAGAGGGATATGAGGTTTCTCCAGAGGGGTACACATACATTAGAAAGGCCAATTCTTGGCAATGCGTGCCTGCTGTTCTGCCCCCAGAGCCCCTGCCCTTAGATCAGCTCAAAAATTGTTCCTGCTTAGAATATGAAAGAACTCTCCACTCTCTATGCTACCTCAAAGAACAAGCACGTCAACGCAGGGGCCCGACGAACAAAATTTATTGAACTACAACCCAGACAGGACACTTCCCTGGTTCATTGGGCCCCCACCTTTCCTCACCAGCATGCCCAAGTAAGACAGGTAAAGAGGTCTGCTAGAACCTAAAGGCACCCATACACGTCTCAGATGGCGGAAGAGTCCAAGATATGGCACGAAAAAAACAAGCCTAACAAAGAGTCCAAAAAGTAATGGACCATTACTTTCCAAAAGTCCATTACTATCCCCTGGCCCTGCCTGATCGGCGGGGTCCTTTACAATTAGACCCAGCCACTACAAACTTAATACAGTAACATAAAACACCCTAAATCAGTCCAGCCCCGAGCGGGCCCAAGGTTGCTGGATATGCCTAACCGTAAGAACCCCTCGCCCGCTAGCCGTGCCGGCCAACCTCTCCCAACCAGTCAACACCTCTGTAGACCCAGCAGCGTGTAAAATGACACCACCCTTGTGGGTACAACCGATAAAAGCCTCAATAGGATACTGCCTAAGAGGCCAAATAACGGACAATGAGACAGCTATAGACGTGGGGGTGAGAGACTTTGCCAGCTACACCACAATACAGAACATCACCACCTCAATATGCGCCCCTCATCCCCTGGTCTTTGTCTGTGGAAGAAACCTGGCCTATACTTTCCTCCCCACAAACTGGACTGGAACCTGCGTACTCGCAGTTCTGCTCCCAGACATTGACCTGATATCAGGAAAAGAACCAGTCCCCATGCCCACTCTAGACCATGTGGCCAGGAGGGCAAAACGAGCTGTCCACATGGTACCCCTCCTGGTGGGACTGGGCTTATCCACCAGCCTAGCAACGGGGGCAGCAGGGATCGGCCTCTCACAGCACACGTATGCCAAACTCTCCCAACAGATCATATCAGATGTGCAACATGTGGCTGACACCATGTTGGAACTTCAGGGGCAGATAGATTCTCTAGCAGAGGCTGTCCTCCAAAATAGACGTGGGCTAGACCTCCTCACTGCCCGAGAGGGCGGCTTAGGCCTTTTCTTGCAGGAAAGATGCTGTTTCTATGCCAACCGCTCTGGAACAGTCCGGACTAAGATCAAAGAACTGCAAGAGGATTTAGAACAAAGGCGCCGGCAGCTCCAAGAGAGCCCCCTCTGGGCCGGGCTCAATGGTTTACTCCCTTACCTCTTACCCCCCCTGGGCCCTATACTCCTACTAGTTATGGGCCTCACCATAGGCCCCTGCCTCCTCCAACTTGTTTTTCGCAGGGTCTAAGATACTAACAGCTTACACTCAACTCAATCAAGAAGACATAGACCCACCTCACAATCCTGCATAAGCTGACCTTTCATCCCGACCGGCCCCGACCCCCACGTCTCCCCCGTCCAGCAGGAAGTAGCCAGAAGACAAACGTCGCCCC